GAAATGTACAACAAAATATAGATACTTCAGAATGTATCGATTTAATTGATGATTGGGTATTAAAAAAAGAAATATAGTAAACCCGAATCTTTACTAAATACGTAACTATAAATAATATGAACTTGAAATAATTATATAGATTAGATCACAAAACAATTAATTTATGAATTTATTATAGTCAAGAATTTTTGATCATTTAAATCTTGATAGAAAAGTATAAAATAGGAATTGACAAATATTAGATAATATTTATCCATTCATATTTAGGATAAGATGTATGATTTTTTATTAAATTATTAAAAATAATAATTAACTAATTTTATAAATCTGAATTAATTCATTTATTTAAAGTTCAATTTTGAATTGAATTCAAGTTCAAGTTGATTTAAAATCAAACTTTGAAATGAATTCAAGTCTTAGTTCAAACTAGAATTCAATTTGAATTTGAAATTTTTCAAAATAAGTTCAAACTTAAATAATTTTGTTATATTAAGTAAAGTTTTAAAGCTCTATAAAAGTATATAAGAAATTTATAATTACTAATATAAAGAATATTAATAATAAAATTTTAATAATTATAAATTTAAAAAATTTTAGTTTTATAACTTTTAAATAATATTATAATTTTAATTTAGAATATACTTGAATTCAAATTCTTTTTAAATTCAAACTCAAAGTTCAAGTTTAATTTAAATTTAAATTTGAATTTGAATTTGAATTTGAATTTGAATTTGAATTTGAATTTGAATTTGAATTTAAATCTGAGATTAATAAATTAAACTGAATTTTTAATTTATTTCTAATATTATATTGTTAAATATAATTAATATTAAATAAAGTTTTTAAAATATATTATTTTTTTATTTGATAATTATTAAAATCTTATTAAAAATACTTAATATATTATATTTTAATTTAATTTATAAAATTATTTTTTTTAATTAAAAATTAAAATATATAATTAAAAGAAAATATATTGAATTATAATATATGATTTTTAAATAATATATAATAAAATTATTATTAACTAATAATTATATATCAAGTAACTATATAAAGTTATTTATCAAATATTAAATTATATATTAATAATTAAACATATTTAATCTTTTTTAATGATTAAATTTTAAAATATTATAAATAATTAAACAATTATAATATTTAATATAATATAATAATGCAAATAATACTATTATAAAATGATCAATTTATAAAAATTTAAAAATTTATAAAATATGATAGAAACATATAACAATAAAACTGTTTTAGCCAAGTCAAAATACTATCATTTGGCTGTTTGTATATAAATTATAAAAGTAAATGTTTTATGCTGTGTATCTTCCATTTGTAAATATATCAATAAAGAATATTCTGTATAGAAAGATATATTTTAATCTAAATAATTTGAAATTCAATATATCGATATAAAATAGTATTATAAATATAGATATGTATATATGTACCACAAAAATCTTGTTGAATGATTATTCCATTTCATTTATGAAGTTATGTTAATTTATATTCTTATGAAAAATGCCCCCCCCCCCCAAGCAAACGAATAAACTGTTTTCTGGTCGGTTTTCAATTAAATGGGAATGCGAAATAGATAATACATTTGTTACTAATTTCATCAGGTAGTGTAGAACGTAGTTTTAATGCTTAATAATCTCAGTGATATATATTGAATTTCGGAATAAAACGGAATTTTTTCAAATCACAACGGGATTTTTTCGTGTCCCTGCCTGGCACACATTTCAGACGTGTTTTAATGAACCCCAGATGATCGTCCTAATAAAATTAGAAATGTTGCAACACTTTCTACTCACTCAAAGAATATGTCAATATTGTTTCTTTGATCTAATAATTATTCAAAGAGCTTATTGATACTCAATACATACAAAATATTTTCAAAAAATATAGTCTACTCTGTAATATTAATGTCTTCAAGCAACGTAATCGCGGAAAACAGTTCGGTACAAAATGCCGTCATTACAGAAGGTCTTAACTCTTAGTATTGCAAGTTAATATTATATTCTCAATTGTAAACAAAGCATTTTCTGCTAAATATTTTGTAAACGAATTAAACTTTCTCTTAGATGAAGCCGCAATCTATGATAGACAGATAAGGCTTTGGGGGCTTGAAGCTCAACAGCGGTAGTTTGAGATATTATTTTTTTTGGATTTTATTGGGTTTGTTTTTTTTCTCTATCATTATGGCATTTCTGACGCGTCATTTATAATTTGTGGTGATAAAGAATGTTAAGCTCTAAAATATTGGTGGTTGGAATGCGAGGCCTTAGTAATGAGGTTTGTAAAAATCTTGTCCTTGCGGGAATCGGATCTCTCACAATTCTTGACGATCAAAAAGTAACTCCAGAAGATTTGGGCGCGCAATTCTTTTTGTCGGCTAATGATATCGGGAAGAATGTGTGTCATCATGTGTCTTTTAAAAAAAATTTTTACATCATCAAAGTATATAGACTAAATATTTCTTGGGATTGGCATAGAGAGCAGTTGCATCAAGAGATCGTATTCGTAATTTGAATCCTCGCGTGGTTGTCACTGCTGATTCTGATAATTTGGCAAAGAAATCTGAAGAATTTTTTAGTAAATTTGATGTTATTTGTCTGACTGATTGTGATCTGGATACTTTGGTGAGTCAAGATTCTTTATTTTATGAAAGTAAAATTGGTTTTGAGCGCTTTTTTAAGTAACATTTTTATGAATTTTCAAGATACGTGTCAACGAAATATGTCGAAAATTTGACAAAAAATTATATGCTTCAAGCACAATGGGCTTATTCGGATATATATTTTGTGATTTGAACTATCACGAGTATATTATGTGTGTAAAATAGATCATGTGTTTTTCACAATGTACTTTAAATGATAATTTAGTTAACTATATATATTCTAGAGAAACAAAAGAAGCGAAATTGGATAAGGAAGAGCCGGAAGTTAAACGAACCAAAAAAGAAACACAATACGTGAGTTTAGAGACTTCCCTTTCAAAAACCGATTGGGCACAAGTTAAATTCAAGAAATTAAAAAAAATTTCCGAAGTGTTGTGGGCTATTCCAAGTAATGTTTGATATCGCATCGTTGTTATTTTACATTTGATAAACTGATCTCTATCTGTGTATTTAGTAATTTGGAAATTTCAACAAAAAGAAGGTCGTCTACCTAATCCTGAAGACACTTCAAATGATGAAACTTCAGACTTTATGAAGCTGAGATCTATAAGCAACGAGTACTTAAAGTCAATCAATGTTGAACCATCACTTTTCACCAATGTATTTTTAAAGTAAGAGATCTCTCCAACTTTATCATTAGGATTATTATAATTACTATAATATTGGTTAATTCTTTTTAGGAAACTAATACAGGGCGTATCAGCCGAAATATCACCAGTTTGTGCAATCGTCGGTGGTATCTTGGCTCAAGATATTCTTAAAGCGTTGTCTCAAAAGGGACCACCGATTAATAACTTTTTCGTGTTTAATGGAACGGACTGTAAGTTTTTTGGCACTTAAACGCATATTCGACTTTTAACTATCATCTTTGGCAAACTGAATAATTGATAACATTTTTGATAGGTTCTGGAATAGTCTATCAAGTCGAACCTGGCAAAAAAGTAATACCATAGGTTTCCTTCCATGCTGATAATCTAATTAGTTTGGATAACGCACACTCACAAAGAAATTATAATAGTGGATATTGGTTGGTGTTGAAATGTATACATCGATATAAACTCTAAAAAAGTTTAAAATATCGAATAAAAATTACCTTGTAAACTAATCATTACCTACCACATGACTCTCGTTATATTGATATATCGGATGGGCTCGGGGAATTAGGGAAAGTTTTTCAAAAATCCGCTTTATCATAAGTATATTAGTACATACATTATATCGAATGAGATTTATTAGGCTTATTTTGAACCTTCATTTGCTATATCGAAGTTTTAATTCTCCGCTATATATCGAGAATCGCTGTGTAATTACATTGAAACTCCTTTTTGAGCAACCAATTTACATTAAAATTAAAATGGACCGATTTACACGAGTTGAGTTGACTAGTTCTCTAAGGCCTGCATTGCTTCCTAACGAAACTATACTTGCAATTCAAGATAATGTGGGACTTTACGAAGGGTTTGTTGCTTGATAGTGAAATGAACTTATGAACGGAGTAGCGAGACTGTTAATAAAGTATTTAGACTGCCTTCGATAGGAATGAAAAAGTACCTGAGTACTCGAATGGTAAAGCGTATTTAACAACACATAGAGCTATATATATCGATTCTGAGCAGCCGCAAACGCATTCCCTTGCATTAGACTTGTCGCTGGTTAAGGCCCGCGAATATTTTGTGAGTTTTCTTTGAAATAATTACGGTTTTTTATGCGCTACTAAATTGAATCATATTTCCAATCTTAAAATAGACCGGTTTTTTAAAAGCTTCACCTAAAATAATTCTTCGATTCACTGAAAATCTTTACGCATCCTCCTCTTCTCCTCGATCGCATACACCAATATCTCCCTCATCATCAACAACCTCTTTACCTTTAACTACCTCTATCACCCCTACAACTTGGATTTGTCCGATTTGTTCTTATTCGAAAAACTTGGTTAGCACAAATCTCAAATGTCAATTATGTGGGGTTAAGCGTCCAGAGGATCTTTTGTCGGCTTCATCTGCACCTCCTTTAATCTCTCAAAATGCAAAAGAGAGAATTGGAAGTAATGTTGATGGGGTATCCCTACAACAGGAGGAGTACTTATCACAAACTTCAGATACAGATTCACCGTCGGCTAAACCTCTTGCAGAAGGGATTGCATGTCCTGTGTGCACATTCTTGAATCATCCAAGCATGATAAGATGTGAAGTATGCGAATCAGAATTGGGGACTTTTAATGTTGATGGGTTAAGCATTACTGCCGATGAGGCAGTTTCGGGATCGGCTTCTGGAAAATCAGGGAACCCTTCGGCCGATTTTGTGAAATTGGCATTCCGTAATGGAGGAAGCAGCACTTTTTATGAAAAACTGAAGGTTGCTATGTCAGGGAAGGAATGGGAGGTGAGTTAAATATTTATTTATTTAATTCTTTATTCATCACATTTTTCTTATATTGAAAGAATATCATCTCTTAGAAATCGCTTGATTCTATTCCTTCGAAATCGACGCCAAATTTTGATCCTGGGCGTAGTGGAATAAGTACGCAACGAATTTTTATAAATAGTAAATGATGCGTATAAATTCATTTTTCTTACATAGCTTTTTTTGGATAGAGGGAATTACACGTAATGTAGAAGAAGGTCATAAAGAACAGGAGGAAACATTAGCATTGGCTTTCAAAGATCTAGACGGGTTGATGGCAAAAGCTAATGAAATGGTTTTGTTAATGTGATTAATCATTAAATTTTGTTTTTCTTGATTTCAAATATTTATACGATGCTTTTTCAGGTTAAACTTGCTGAATCGATGAAGTTGAAGTTAAGCAAAGAATCAAATGAATCGGATGCATTAGCTGATGAAGCATCATCCTTGAATACCTACTTATTGGAGCTGGGAATATCAAGTCCGGTGACGAAGAGGCATGTTTTTTTTAATATGTGCTTTTCACTGGCAAAAAAGTGAGTTTATGCTGAATTTTCGATGATTTAATATAGAGATGCGGGGTCGGTTTATCATCAGGAATTATCGCTTCAGTTAGCTGAATTTTTAGAGGGTATATTAGAAAAGGAGAATGGCATGATGGCTTTGACGGATATTTATTGCATTTTTAATCGCGCCAGAGGAGTCGGTATGTTACTACCTTTTTTTTAATTGACATATTCCATTAATTATTTTCCTTTGCTAACCAAATGAATTATAATTTATATGTTGAAAAAATAAGCACTTATTTCGCCTGAAGATATGTATAAGGCATGCTCTCTCTTTGAACGGTTAAACATGCCGATGCGATTACGTAAATTCTCAAGTGGTCTAAATGTAGTTCAGTTGGATATCCTTTAAATTTAATATGTTGATTTAATTACCGTGTCTAAAAATTTTCTTTTGACAATAAAAGACTTACATCGTCATAATAACTAACCCATAGCGATGAAAAAACCGCACAGCGTATATTGGACGAAATTCGAAAAAATGGGCCAAAAACTGCGATTGATTTAGCCGAACGACAAAAAACCAGCGTCTTTTTAGTGACTGAACAATTGCTGGCAAGTTTCTGCGAAATATAGAGAAAAATAGAATCGTTTGAATTTTTTATTTTTGATGTTAATTCGACTTTTTTATTAGATGACTGAAGCAAAAGGATTGATATGTAGAGATGAGACGGTGGAAGGTTTGAGGTTTTATGAGAATCTTATTAGTAGCTATGAATGGGAGTTTGAAGATTGAATCATGAATATTATTTAATATTGAGTTGATTTGGATTAATTTTTTCTTAATTATTGTTTATGAATATATGATATTTCGGTATACAGTGAGAGCTTGTTACAGTAACGCTCTTTAACATCTTGTTATATTAACACCAAATTTCTTCCCTCGATCTTATTATTTTTAATTGTATTTATTTTTCGATAGAGTAACGTCTCAATTTAATAAACACAAAATCTCTTCCCCCGATCACGTTATTGTATGAGTGCTCACTGCATTTGAAATCTATTCACGATGTTATTAGCTTTAAATTTCAATCACGTAAGTTTATTTACATTTTCAATTGAAAGTCACGTGTTATTAATTGCTAGTATGAACAAGGTCAATATTTTAAATTTTATTTTATATATATTTTTTATTACAAGAAGTTGGTTATATAAATATATAATTTTATTATTATACTAAATAAAAAATATTTTCTTATTATTTTATTTATTATAATAAATTCTTTTCTTTTTTATTTCTTATTATTTATTATTTTAACAAATTTCTTTTTTTTAATTGATATAAGCATATTATTAAAATTGAAATAATTAGTTAAATTTCAAAGTTAATAGATTATATTATCTTATATTAATAAAATTTTTTTATTTATAATATTAATTTTATTTATTATATATATTATTATTAATTTATTAATATAGTAAATAGAGTAAATAACATTTAAAATATTAAAAAAAAAATAACTAAAATTAATATATAATATTTTATTAATAAATTTCAGTATATTAGATATTTTTTTTCTTATTAAAAATCAGTTTATTAATTTTATATCAGTAAAAACTAACTTTATTATATATAATATTAATACAGAAAGTTTTTATTATATTATAAAATATATATAAAAATAATTATATATTTTATTAAGATTTATTTAAAGATAGATATAATTTAATTTTAAAATATATTTTAAATAAATAATTTATTAATAAAAAAATAATAAATTACTAATTAGAAATTTATTTAATAAAGAGAGATTTCTTAAAATTTTCTTAATCAAATTATTATAATCTAATCTGTTAAGTTATTTTTAATTTATATGTTTTAACTAGCTAAGATATATTACTTTTATATATTTTAGAAATTTTATATATAATTAATTTAATTAATATTATAATACTAATTTTATTATAATAATATTATTAATTTAATCATAATAATTTTATTAACTTTACTATAATAACTTTCTTATTATTATATAATTATCTATAAATATTTATTAATAATAATTTTTTAAGTTAATATTTAATAAATATAACTATTAATTATATTATAATATAAAATAATTAATAATAAATAATAACTTAATATTTTAATAAAAATTTATATTATATAAGATTATTAAAATTTTTATTAAAATAAAATAATTTTAAAAAAAATATTAAAATAAAGAGAAAAATTTTAATTATTGATTGATTTAAAACTATTAAATCATATAATTTATATCATATAATTATATAATTCTAATCATAAAATTATATAATTGATAATTATATTTATAATTATAATATAAAGTTATAATATAAATATTTTAATAATATATATTATAATTTAATACTAAGTTTAATTATTTACAAATATATATTATCAAAAATTAGTTATATATTTTATAAAAAAATAGATTATATAAAAATCTAATATAATTATTATATTTTAGATTAATATTATATATTAATTTCATATAATAATAATTATTTTAATATTATAATTTTATTATTAAAACTAAGTATAAGTTTTTAATTATTTTATTTATATTAATATTAATATATATATAGGAGAGTATCAAAAGTAATAAAAAAAATTTTATTAAGATAATAGTTAATTTTATTTTATATTTGGAATTAATATTTTAGTATTTTGTATATTTTCTATTAGTAATAATCACAGTCTGAATTCTATTTAATATTAATTATATTAAGTTATGATATATTTTTTTCAGAATCACTTTTCAAATATTTTTCATTATCTTTCAAGTTTATCAATACTTGAAGGTTAAGAATTATATTATTACCATAATAATATAAAATTCTTTAATTCCTTAATCTTTTTCTAATTATATAAAATCACATATTTTTATATTTTTCATTTATTTTATAAATATTCCTATTTTTATATCATATATTACTATATTTATTATCATATTT